AATAAAAGTTAAATACCGAGTTGTACCGAGTATTTTTTTTCTCGGTACAACTCGGTATTGCGAATAAAACTACGTACTTTTTTGTATACTGCTTAAGAAGGTTATCAATGGAATTCCTCTTTTCTTCATTAAGCAGTAATCGTCCCGGGTATTCCAAAAATCCCTCAGCCGGACGTTCTATAGTTTTGGAATCCTCAACATCAAAAATTGCAGTTTTGGGTAGTACAGAAACATGAGATTTTGGTTGTTCAGCGGTAGGAGCAGCATCAGGAATAACTGAAGTTGATGGAGCAATTTTTTTAGGCTTAGAAGCTTTTTTAGGATCAGGTAACTTCTCTTAAAGTTTTCTTGTTGAAGCACGAGTTACAGGTTTTCTTTCAGGTATTGATGTTTCCTTTGTACTAACATTTTCAACATCATCATTACCCAACTGAACTTTCTTCTTCCTCCTATCACCTGCTGTGAATGGAGTTTTAACTATTTTCCTTTTCCTGTTACTCCTGAGCTGCACTCTTCGAGCAATTCCTGCACTTCCAGATGAAGGGAAAGGAAATTCATCATCTTCAGATTGTCTGTCAATAACTTCCATCCCTTTAAAATCTGATTTTTTTATTATTTCATCAACAATTTTATCAACATTTTTCGATACTTCATCCAAAACCTTGTCAGATTCGGTTCTTGAAGTTGAGGGAACCGGAGATCCAATTTTCTCTGACGTGAAATATTGTGGGAAATGATGACTCAAAATCTTATAAATACCATAAATTTTTTCAGTATTATCAGATCTTAACCGAAATACTTCATCTTCCAATGTTTTGACCTTTTTTTCAAGCAATTTTTTGGATAATTCGAGTGATGTAATTTCTTTAACCATATATTCATGCTGTGTAATAAGCTTATATATGGATTGATTGATAATCCTCAAATTTGTTTTCTCAGGTACAGTACGTTCTGCATCAGTATCTTCTCTAAATTCTGGTGTTGAAGTTGGCATATCAGTCTTAATTGCTTCTTCTTCATTTTTTCCTGTTTCGATTGGCGTTTGAAAAGGAGATTCGGTGGCAGTTTGACAATGAGTGGGACTAGCCAAATGAATTGTAGGCTCAGTGTCCATTGGCTCTTCAATGGGGCATTCACTTTCGATTGGACTATGAATAGGAGAAACAGTTCGCCTTGGACTAGCTGGGGATGGAGTTCTACTAATAGGCATATGTGTGGTTGTCAATGGTGAAACAACAACCTGTAAATGCTCTCCTGTATAATATGTTGAGCTACTTTGAATTAAAGTCTTCTCATTATCTGTTACCTCTTCTATATTTGTCAATATCTGAAAGAAATTTTTTATAAATATCCTATATATAAATAAACTTAAATGACTGAATATCTGAATAGTACCTGAGAATCCTGAAGGTTTCCTAGTAAAATATTAACATCTTTAACTCTAAAATTAAATTTGCCATCCCAACAAAGGAGACGGGGTCGAGCCAATTAATCCACTACTGGATGGATCTTTGTATGCTCAAAAAACCAAATCTGAAAAAAAAAACAATATAAGTCACTGTATGAAAGCAAGTACCTAGTACATTAGTGCAATATGTATAAG